ATACACAGACAGATCATTTCGATTATAATTCACATTTTGTAATCGATCGAAATGGATAATGGCAATATATGCTTAGCTAGCGCGCGCGTAATCCCTGCTTGCGCGACGCGCACTCTCGCCTCGATCACATAGCAACAAATAAGACAAGCAAGCATGCCCATATATTTACATACATAAATCATATTAATTGTAATTTATACAACTTGTGACATCTGATACATTATATTATCAGTTTTATATGTGTACACCGCAGAAATGGCACAAACATCATGGCTAATTGTTATTTAATCAATTGGCTGAATGTTTTCATTAATGATGTGTTTCTCTCTCTCTCTCGCTTTCTCCGACTCCTTCTCTATCGCGGCTCTTCGTTCTTGTCGCAACAGTTTCGTTTTGAAATGGAATTGCATCAGGGGCGAGGGTCAAAGGGACGGACATATTTACTTGATTAGACACGAGGTTCGTCGCTTTTAACGAGCGTTTTTATATGCGCAATTGCAAAATGTGTTTTTGTTTGTGAAAAAATTGCTTTTTCGTTTGCTTGCAACTTTGTAAATTCAATTGTATTTTGTACCATAACAAATTGCGACCTTTTGCGAGTATTTATCCAAATTTAAATTCGAGTATTTATCCAAATTAAATTTCTAATTTTCCAATTCAGAATTTCTTCACATTTTCAATTTCAAATGTGTACATCTCATCTTAAAATTTCTAGTTTTCCAAATGTAACTTTAAAATTTCCTGTTCAAAAGTCAGTAGCGAATCGAATGAAATGCAAAACAGAATTGAAAACCACAAAGTTCGAACTGTCCATTTGGTTTGAATTGCGAATATTAAACTGAATGTCTTGACATGGTGGTCTCTTTTGTAAATTGCAATTTTACATTTGTTGTGCACATTGCAAAGAACAAAAAACAAAAAGACTGGCGCTTTTCTGTGTGGTTTTTTCCTGGCATTTTATTTGAATCGGGTTAAAAATGTCATCTAAGTGCGCAACTGGTGCAAACGCTGTGCAATTGTTTCTTGTGTAGTTCAGTGGATGTGGTTTGTGCGGCTCTTTTGGATCACGCAATCGAATCGATGTCAAACTGAATTTTCGCGAAAAGTCAAGCATCAACGAGAGCCACACATGACCTTCTGCTACCATTTTAGCCAAAGTCAATCAGTGCCGACTTGATTGCCGCTTGACATCTCGATCGTATTTGTAAAATGCACGTCAATCTCTCATTTTCTGTCCAGACCCGCATCAATGTTGATCAATGCAACAATTTTTCTATAAAATTCAATTACATAATCGCATAGAATCAGGATTGTTTTTTTCTTCTGCTGCTGTTTGTCATTGTCGATGTTAAATTTTCGATAAGGACTTTTTTGTTTGTTTGTTTTTTTTTTATCGTTGTGGTAATAATTTACTCGTTTGACCTGTTATCGTTCAAACTAGACAAAAACTACTGTCAGTAATAATAATAATAATAATTTTTTTTTGTTGTGCTTGGCTTCTTCGTGTTTATGTTATGTACGTTTGTATTTATATTACGTAATTTGATTTTTCGGCTGAAATTTCAACAAAACACCAATAAATTATTGACAAAATCACTTGAGCAAGACATATGATGCGCGTCCGTTCGCGCATCACATCAAAAAAAATTGTTATATACACCAAATATTTCTACTTCTTCTTAACTTGTTACATTGTTTGCTTGGCTATTGTTGAATCGGCATTATTTGCTTCTCTCAAGCTGATGAAAAATGTGCGGCGCGCATCCCATGAATTGTGTGTGTGTGAATGCGCTTTGCCTGATGCCCTCGTAATCGAATTATATTTCGAGTCTGAACGCTTTTTTTTCGTTCATTCGATGTTTCGATTACTTCGCACAGCACGGGGAGAGATTTGTCGTTCACCACATAACCTGACATTCAGATCTGAAAATCTAATTAAATTTATGAATACGATTTATATATTAATGGAGATCGATAAGCTTTGAAATTATAAAGTGAAACAAAATATAATGAAAATATATTATTATGAATTTTAAGTGGTTGTACACCAGTGTGTATAGTTCAGAGGTCAGTATTGGCTCGATCACATTCGCGTTAATATTTCAACATAGACAAAATCGCATGAGACATCATTTTTTATTCGCTTTTGTGACACTGACTATATTATGGGGCGATTCGATTAATCTCGAAAATCAAATCGAGCGAAAGAGTGAGCGAGTAAAAGAAAGAGATAGAAACTGTCTTATCATTTTTTGGCTAAAAAAAAAGCGGCGGCAATCGATCAATCGAAATAAAAACATTTTTACAACAATAAAAACCTTTAGCCATCAAAGTTCTTTGTGAGAAGACGAAATCAATGTGAAATATCAAGAAAAAAAAATTGGGTGAATCGTAGAAAGGCGAACAGGTAAACAATTACACATCAGTGACCAGTTCGTTCAGGTTGTAATAAACCGAAATCAAGGCTTTAGAGTTTGTCGGTTGTGTTTCGTGTGCGTATACCACAGAGCGTGTTAATTTACCATCTCACAAAATTATTATTATTCAGTGAGTTGTTGTTTTTTATTGTTTTGATAAATCAGTTCGATGGTTCGGGATTAAAATCATGCTGACCGAGATGGAAAAACTCTATCGTTGACTAAATGAAATGAACTGAAGCAGAAAGAAAAAAACAAAAACAAGATTTACATTCATAAATCTCTGCACAATGCCGAATTTGTGTCTTCACAATTCCACAACGGCAACGGCAACAGCAACGACGACGACGATGAAAAAAGCATCGACCGAAAAGCATCCGAACTCGTTTGCTTTATGATTTCGTTGTGTATATTTTTCTCTTCTCGCCCGTCTTCTCTCTCTCTCTCTCCCTTCATTCATTGTCGCATTCAAATGTGATGATGTGCAATAAAAATGTGTTACAAGCGGTAATAAATTGATAGAATTTTATGGTATTCGTGAATTTTTATTCCTTTTTGTTATGCCCGAGAAAAATGGTTGTTGTCACCATTTTGTCTGGCATGATCGTTACCCATTCAAACCAATTATAATAATAATCGCGCTACTAATTTCGGTTTTGTTGTTACTAATAAAACCCGATTTCATTGCGATTATATTCACTGAATGCTCGGTAGGCCGATCAAGACAAACAAACAATCAACGCTGAAGAAAAAAAAAACCAAACAAATTTCACCATTTTTGATTTATGAAGAGAGTATTTAATAGTGTTAAGTGAACATTTTGCCAGCCATAAACAAAAGAAGATCATGGTGATGATGCATCTGTGAAAGCTTAACGAATGTTTGAATCCCATTGAGTCATCGAATGATTTTCATCGGAAACAATATAAATAATAATCAACACGGTGTCGCTTTTAACGTGCAAAATTTTCCAAACAAAACGAAGATAGAGACAGATACAAAAAAAATCAGAGAAGGAGAACGAACGACATTAAATAGATAGCCGCGTCGTAACTACACTTAAAGAGTTAAACGAGAAAAGAGAGAAAAAAACGAGAGCTCAATGCTGATATCATTATTTTAGCATAGGCCATGTATCGCATTAATGAATATTTAGCCCCAATTTTCGACACGTACTACACGCGAACTGGTTGACCAACCAAATTACCGTCGCTCTCCTCTTCGATTCGGTGTGTCGATTCGGTGCATGTGTGTGTGTGTGTGCATATTTATGGATTTCAATACTTGTCTTTCTCTCACTCTTTCTCGATGCCACTGGACGCCAAATGTCAGTCATCATGTCATAAATAACGACAATTTTTAATACCGTCCATCGAAAGGGGAGTAAAATAAAGAGAAAAAAAAAAAACACATACTAAAGCAGATAATTTAATGTCGCTTTGTTTTTGTAATTTTAATGACAGTCACTAATTTTGGGTCCAATTATTTATTTGTATATTGATGTTTGCGATTTCGGACAAAAATGCGATCTGGTTTCAAGTTCGAGATAACCATTGACAACGACACAAACGACGTTGTATTAAAGCATCATTGTTTTGTTATAAAAACGAAATGTTTGCCATGGAAATTATAGTTTTTAAACAACAATCAATGACCATAAGTTTCATTAGTGTTCTCAAGTTCGATTGATGCCGCTAAACAACCAAGACCGATTGAACTCTGATCGACACCTGATCTTCCCGGCTTCGATTCGGTCAGATTCAGTGTCAATCGATGTACTGTAAATTTATGTACTCTTTGGTATCACAAAAATTAAAAAAAAAACAACAATTGCAATTAATTTTTAAAAAAAGGTGGGAGCGACCGAAGGAAAGAAAATTTGACCCAAAATTATCGATTAGAAGATATGCTAACACAATTAAAATGTTATGTTTCGATTAATTTATTTCGAAGGACATGAAAGCAAATGAGCATTGGCATTGCATTTGATGCGCCCCATCAAAGTTAATTTTTTGATGAAATCATATTTGATTTGATTTGACGCGACCCATGTCATAAAATTGAATGAAACCATAATTCACATCATCAAATACTGTGCGCAGCGTCTATTAAACGTCAAAACTTTGTATACAAAACATCAACATATTACCTTGACAGATGCACTTGTGATGCTGTTGACACAGCCAATTGGCGCTTTCTGTGTAGGATATATCAATAATTAATCATTTTTGTAACCAAAAAACGCTTCAAACTGGTTGTATGTTAACACAAAACAGAGCAAATGATATCATCTCGGTAAATTGTTTGTTTTGTTTGATTTTCATTGGATCATTTTACGTGCTTTTTTGTCGCATGTTTATCTGAACAATTTGCTTAGGTCAAATTGCTTGTTACAGCACACAATTTATAGTTCGAAAATGGTCAAAATAAAGTGGAAGTCACATCGAAATGGAAGGATTTTTTCTTTTCATTTTTTTTTCATTGACATTGCAAATACGCTCGTCGCACGTTTACATATTTCGTAAAATTAATAAACAAAAATTTACTAACTCTATTGAATTTTTTTTTTCATTTTTAAAACAGCTCACGCGACAAATAAACAAACAACTCTCAAAGCAAGACACGTATAAATCGAAATTAATTGCATGACAAAACGAACAAAAGACAACAGAGTCAAATCAAAAGAGTGTGTGGTCCAGTGTGGAAAATATAGCGACGTACGGGAACGACGGAAAGAGAGGGAGTGACAGCGGGAAAAAAACGAGAGTAAATCATTATAACGTTTCAAGAGGTGTGAAAGTGAAGGTTTCCTGTTCGTAATTCCAATAAAAAAAACACAGACATTGTCGATCGAGAGAGTTTAAGAAACATCCATCGAAATAATCAAAAACGTAACTATTTCGAAAATAAACGCGTACAAATCGAAATATAAATTAATAGCAATAACACAACGACAAAAAGACACACAAAAAAAAACGATTCGTAAATATCAACTGAATTGAAAGAAGAAAAAAAAAACAGTAAAAAGAGAGAAACGAAAAAAGAACATAGCTTGAGAGCTAAACAAAGCAAACAAAGCACCCAGATTAAACAAATCGTCGTAATAATCGACATCCAATAAATAATCAAATAAATTGAAAATTCGCCGGGGCGATATCGGGAAATAGTGTTTCGCGCGCCTTTGCTTAAGCAAAGATGAAGGCCTTAATGGCCATCGGTTTGTTTGTGTGTGTATGGTTTTGTGCATTTCATAGTAGTGTATTTGTGGTCTGCACGCCACCAGTTCGACCGGGCACATCGGGCAATCCATCACCGAGATTGCCACGAACCAGCGCTAGTCAATTATCACAGCTAAACAATGGCACCGGCACGAAATCACCATCCACACGAAACGCTCAAATTCAACGCAATGGAAATTTACGCATCAGGTAAGATTAATGCAAATTATAAGCGAACACCTCTAGCCAAATCGGAACAAAAGCAAAAAACACAAATTGACCACTTGATGATGGTGGCCAGTATCGATTGAATTTCGATCGTTGTTTATCATTATTATGATTTTTAATGAAATCCATATTGGCTTTGATGATTATTATTGGCATTAGTAGTAGTATATAATTATTGCCTTCGGAAGTTTTAAATGACTACATCTTTTTTGATTCACTTTTTTTTTTTCTCTTTTCACAAAACAATAATCACGCCTATTAAAAATTTCGATATAAAATGGAGTGAAGAGAGATACATTGTACTCGTTGTGAACTTGGTGTTTCAATACATTGAAAAAAGAGCCTTTTCACACTCATTTTAAATTACACATTATTTTCCCTTCTTAACTCTTTAAATCAAATCACTTTCATGTATGATTAGTTTCTTCATCCAAAAATTTGCTTCCGGTCATCGTTTTTTTTTTTAGTTGATTCATACAGATTATTTCAAGGATCTTTGTGAAGCATTGAAATTGTAATGAGTTTCATATGGATTTTTGTTTTTACATTCATTTTGGTGCCATTTTACATCTAAATTTCTGATTCGGTCTTTTGTTTGCTAATAGCATTCGCGTTGAACGTTTAAAATCTTTTGGTAATTCAACAAAAAAAAAAGATAGATAGATTCTACAAAGAATTGATTCCATATCAACGAAAAAACCACAAAATGTGATTTCTTTTGTGATTTTTATTGTCTTCTTGGCTGTTGTTGTTTTCAAAATAGTGATATGTGTATACTGTACGACATCCCAAATGCAAAATTACAATAATCAATGGTAATTCACACACATGAGTAAAAAAAGAACCATATGTGCAGGTATTATGTTATTTAATTTCAATTGAAGGAGAGCAAACAAACAACGAACAAAAAAAATGCATATTTGCTAAACAAAACGTACTAGAGATATATATCTAGAAATGCATGAGTAAGAAAAACCAATATTCGAAATGCACTGTGTACAGCAGAATCGTATGTATGTATATGAGTGACTGCATCAAAAGTGTATGTCATTTGTATGTTGCGGTGAACTCGTTTCGCACCAAAATTAGAGAGATAATTTGAATTTAAAAGAAAAAAAAAACATTGTTGCGTTTTTGGGCTTCTGGCTCCCCTTTCACTATTTGTTTTATAAACAAAAAAAAATGTTTGTTGTCTTCTCTCATTGGGTCCGTTCGATATTGCCCTGTCTCTCACTTTTAATGTCATGCACAACACGCGCACGACAAATTATACCAACAACCCGCAAACAATATATCGGGCACATTTACAGAATGAACAAAAAAAAAATTGTGCCCAAACACAATACCACTCGAATTTGATTTGTAACGGCTTTGGTGAATGCTAATTTCATTTTTTTTTCTTGTTCGTCTCTGTCTTGGAGTTCGGCATATATTTATTTGCCTGCATTTTGGGTATTTATTGATTGTAATTGTAACCTGTGTATAATATAATTAAAAAAATTGATTTATTGCGTAGGTATTATTATTGTTTGCCGCATACTCCATTGCGACACCGTACACGCTCAGACCAAGACAAGATATTTGATAGATAAAAAAAGACGGGCAAATAGCAACAGTGAATGAAAAAAATACACACAGAACAATACCCAGATCGGAAAAGATCATTTACTCAGACTGGAAACATTGTATACAGTAAATGCGAATGGAATAAACGAAAAAAATGCATACACAATGCACAAACGACCTTGAATGCTGCACTTAGTCAGTTCAATTTATATGCATATTACACATAGATTAAATGCAATCAAATTCGATCGCACTTTTAGAATTATACAGCGTTCACGAGGTTTTTTTTTGTTGCTTTTACTATTTTGCACACGTCTAGCAATATCTACCTTTTTTCTCTTCTTCTCTCTTACTCCATCTATCCTCTCTTGCATTTTGTGGTCGATGTCTTTTCCGTTCTATCATTTTCTCTGTCACACGGCTCTTCCATTGTCTTACTTCTCGTTCTATTTCCTAGAATCTAGTGCCTCTTTTCTCGATTTTCATCACATTTCACGTAATATTTTCCTCTCACTCTCTTTCTCTATCTGCTTCTGTCACTCTCTTTTTCTATTACGTGAATCGTTTCAAATAGGAACAGAATCAAAAGAAGGAGAACGCGTGGTTTTCGGTTTTTTTTTTATATTCATCGTAAACGCGTTTATAGTTACACACTTTTCGATCATACATATAATATCCGCAATAATTTTGCAAGAAACGGGCGATAAAATCGATATTAAATTCGCAATGTTTTTTTTTGTTTCTATTTCTATCTGTTGCTAATTGTGAATTGATTTCTATTTGTCTGTTATTATCTTATGCAATTTTGTTGTTCGGTCACAGTGCAGCAGACTTTGAGTGTGAAGGCAATGCGAAATCGATACGTTACATTCATTATCATAATTTACATTGGTAATCGATAATAGTAGTCATTGAACGATTTGTTTCCAATCATTTATTTCCATTAAATCGAATTCATATCGATTTCATCTCAATGCAATTTCAACATTTGCGATCGTAATCAACAACGCATTGAAATTCAGCTGAATCATATCGAAGAAACCCCGATAGAAATCAATTGTCAATAATGCACAACAAACTTAAAAAAAATCGAAATTAAAACAATTGAATTCAACGAATTTAGAAACAAAGCGAACGAATTGAATCAATTTAAAAGTCGAAAATTATAAATTAAATCGAAATTAAAAGAATAAAATTCGAATCGAATTTCAACATCAAAAAAATGGCGGAAAAAACCTTGGATTATTATGAATAATAATAATAATATGAATGAAATGCAAACAGAAAAATAATGGAATTACATTATCACATAGTTCATCGGGCTCGAAGAGCCGAAAATTCGTGTGCTTTTTTTTCTCCTCTGCGTCGATCGAACAACAACAACAAAAAATAAAATCGGGGTCGAACAAAGCTCAGCGCACACAGAATTGGCACATTGGCACACCAAGAGTGTTTCAAATTGAACAGAATCAAAGCAAATAAGAAACGAAGGAATACGAAAAAAAAAATCTCACATACAAAATCAAAATAAAATGCATTGTAAAAATAATTTTCGCTATTGTTTTTCGGTTTAAAGCAGCGTTTGGAAAAATTGACGCCAGCATAACGATATTTGTGGGCTGAAAAATACAAGTTTCAACGCTCGCTCTCGCTCCTTTACCATTTGTTTTTATGACAAACCAAGTCCAGTAGATGTTCTATGATTGCCAATACGATTCGATATGCATGTATGGGCTGTGTGCGAATGGGCGCACACGCTCGCTCAAGCTCGCAAATCGAACGTTATCTGATTATAATCGAAGAAAAATAATAATATTGTTTTGTTTGCATAATAACTCATTTCGCATACGCATCGAAATTGAACCGAAAACCAACTAAACCACATTCAACAACAATTCCACTCTTTATAGATATATCTTTAAAACAAATTGTCTTGGCTCATTTCAGTCGTTTAAAAACTGCCGATCGCCATTTGAGGCGATCACCAGTTTTTATTTGCATTCTCTCTTCCCGTCTTGCTTGCTCTTTCTTTTGCTCCATCGTTCTCTTCGGATTGGCGAGAGATCTAATTCCATCACGAAATAAATTATGTGACTTTAAAGACATAACAGAAAAAAATCTTCCGCAAAGTTTTGCATGGAGCTTTGTTACTTTTGTGTTGTTATGTTTTTTTTTTCCTTTGAGCGAACATCTTATTCGCGCGGAGATTTAATGCAGCTGGCATGCTTAGAATTCAAATTTAACACAAAAAAATAAGCAAATGAGAAAGAGAGAGAAAATTAATAACAACGCCAACAATTGAAGCACATGAAAAAAGTACAAAGTTTTGTATAAAAATTTTGTATTTACATGTAATGCGACGGTTCGATATCATGAATTTTTCGAACTCCCCATGTGCAATTATGAATATAAAAATACAGTCGACGAAAAAGAAGAAAAACGAGCAATTGTAAAGACAAAAACTCCGATATTCGTTGGGTTATAATTGAATTAGACGAATTTCGAGAGTTGAAAACAATTGATTTAGGAGCCTATTCAATGCACACATTTCTATCAATTGAAACCGATGCACAAAAAAAAAGAATCGAAAACTGAAGGGAAAAGCAGCGGCAGCAATTGAGAGTGCGATCATTTGGATAGTGAGTGTGTGCGCGCACACCATTGTTTCTATTCAACAACGAATAAAAAAAATGTTGAAATATATATCAAAAGTATAGATCTTGATTATGTGAGCACAGCGTTTAATGTGCACATACTACATACTTTGGTATATTTCCAGAAGGAAAACAAGAAATGGGGCCTCGAAAACAAGAATAATATATATCGAAAAATTTGCACGTTTTTATTATAACACAAGAGAGTCGGGCAGGCAAGCAAGCATTATGCAGTTACGTGTTATGATATCAACAAGTCATATTAATAGACTTGCAAGAGCTCGTTCACTTGGTTCGTTCATTCGAATCGCGTACAATTGGATTCGGAGGGAGGGCGCGCTCGTTGATCATTTCGATATCTACATATATCAACAGCAAACCGCATAAGCATGTATGCCGAAATAACATGCACCCGAATAAACGATCTTCAATGCTCCATACACACATTTCTTTCTTTTTGATCTGTGTGACGTTTTTCTCACCGATCACTTTTTCTTTGCAAACACTCGCTCTCGCTCTCTCTCTCTATTCAAAATCTCTGGTCCATTCATTCATTGATTCATTCATTCAATTTGGAATCTCGCGTTCTCTGTATTCCACATTCTCTCTTTGTATTTTTATATATTTAATTCACGCGCCGTGTGTGCGACTTCTGTAGCTGTTCCATGTACCCGAAATACACTTTTATTATTATTTATTTTCTTCTGTTTTGTTGTCATCATTGTGCTGCCATTTTAAACATAATTTTTTTTTTCTCTTCAT